TGTAAAGTTTCGTCGACACGGTACCTGCATCACGGCAACGATGTCCGGATGTTGTAATTTCAAACTGCGAACTTTGATGTACACTGTACACGTATGACGGGAACACTTTGGATAATAGCCGCTTTTCACTTACATCTACTGTTTGTGGGATTTGTGTGTGTACTTGTCTTCATAACATCGTTTTATTTGTGGGAAAATAAATAAGGAATGTTTGATGAAGAAAATAATATTGGATACACTTTAGCTTAAGCTTTTGTAACCTTTGAATAAAAGTGTCCGTGAAGGACGCCCTGGAATGACATTAACCGACCGACCCTGTTATTTGCTGTCCTTTGACAAGGTCAGGTGCTTGGTACTTGGAAGCGTCACTCGCGAGGTATATAGCTTCTTTCAAAAATAGAAAGTGTGAGAGCTCTTAATGTCTTCGACAAATAAATTCACAAATCTCTCCACAGAGATCCATTACCTACTTAAAGATTAAAATTTTGCGCGCGGCTTCGGGATGTTAAGTAATCGATCTCGGGAGGCTCGTATTTTATTTACGTTTATAAAACATTTATATTTAATACCACCGGTAAGAATGTTGCAGCGAGAACTGTGAGATTCTTTTAGAATTTTCCATTTCTCTTTTGCCTAATCCAAGAATGCTAACTTAAAAATGAATTTAAAGATTCGCCTCTTTCTTGATTAGAATTTTTGTTTCAGTTCTTTTATGGAATTTTTGAAACGTGAACTCGGTTCGTGTTTTTATATAAAGTCGTTGAGTCAAAGCTACAAGTATCTTTTGTGTGCATTTAGCCTTTGGCTGCTGCCCACATGACCTTTGCAGTAGAGTATTCAGGTCGAGGTCGCACCTCTGACCCCAGGCTCCCACGGGCACATTACGGGCGCCACATCAGTGCCACAATTTGTGTCTGGATACCACAAAAGCAATTGCATTGGAAACCGATACGGAATGCTCAGTATTAACTATTCAGTAAATTGAGATTAATACACTTAAACTACGGTAGTTGTTAGTGGAAATTAATGTTGTTATATACAAGTGCCGAAATAGGTTAGTTTGAGACATTCTGGGCCATTAATCTTTATTACACGTGTTCTTCTGATTTTGGTTTATAGATTGGGTTAGAAAACGTTAAATTATAGTAGACAAAAGATTTTACAAAACAAAAGACGCCGCCATCAAGCATTGTGTTGTTTTCGAATCTTTTACAACTATGCGCCGCGACTTTGATCAATTGTTGTTGACGTGGGCATCTAAATGATTAGCAAGTCTTAAAATTTGGGTCAAAAATAGAAAAGTCATCTCCATTGAAAGGAAGCTCCAACAAAGCTCGACGTTGTTTTTTTACTTAAAAAGTCTAGATAATGCTTTGGATTTGAAAGAGGAGGCTATATTGAAACGTGGTTCATTTTTATTATTTTATTTCTTCGGGGTGGCGTGGAACATTTCTATCGAGGCTGATCGAGCCGAGTTGCAGTGGGAAACAAGATTGTTTTGTTGCATAAATGGAAATATATCTGAGTTCCGGCGGTAATAATAATTGTTTCTATGAACAATAATTCTATACATATAGTTTTTATTTAGACTTCGCTGAAAAATAAACCGCTATTTTTAATGTGAAGTTGCTTTTATCTTAACATTTTAATAACCTCATAAATTGACTGTGTGGGTTTACAAACGAGTAGTTATCGTGCCAAAGAAGTCGCACGTCCTTGACTTAAAGCGGCGACAATATCACCCACGTAGAGAATAGGGTACAACAGTTACCTAACATATTTAACATGCCCGCCTAGTAGATTCGAATTAACAACTTACTATATATGATTTGAAATATGGTATGAAGTAACTTAACGTTTAAAAAATGCAGAAGAGGTATAGCTAAGTATAAAATTTATTATATGACTAAATCGAAAGGTTTGCGTATAAAACTTTTCTTGTTATTAACTGAGGATCAAAACAATTTTAAATTAAGCGTAAAAGAGTTAAGCTTCCACACCAATGGGATAGCTCAACCAGAGTGACACCGCGGTTTCACAGAAAACGTGAGATCGCCTGAGGCCCAATCCTTCACTACCCGGTGAAAGATTGGGCCAATCCCTAAATCCCTTTGGTGTTGCGGGTGCCCATGGGGCGCCGATTGCTTACCATCAGGTCTTCCATCTGCTAAGTTTATCTGTATCTCACAGGTGTAAAACTTTTTAAAACTCGTCTACCACCTTATTTTCATCCTTGCAACTCTATTCCACACTGAATACAAAATTGATAATGATAGTCCACTACGTTGCAGTGACGATGAAATTTGCCGATGGTTTCTAACCGCACATGTTCTGATTAAATAATTAAAGTATACTAAAGTAGGTCAACAACGTACCTATGAGTCGTTGGAGCGATAAGTTGGTCGATGCTGCGCTTTCAAAAACTTAAGCTTGGGAAGCAAAGCCTGCATAGCTTCAGCAAAATTGTATTAACTTCATGTTATGATGTTAATTTAAAAGTTTTCCCAATGCCTTCAATGTCACATTGGTCTGAGAAGATCACCTAGTTTAATTATGAATGAGTTTCGCTGCTTGAAAACTTTGACGGAATTTATAAGGTTTTTCTTAGAATGTAGCAGCTCCTAGTTTTTGCAAAAATAGAAAACGAGTGTTAGAAAAAGTTTCCTTGTGATCAGTAAAAGAAAATCTTTTGAACTGTAAAACTCTGAGGAGCAAGACCTCGTATTACCAGTGTTACGTATTTCATAACGCTTGAATTAATCGTTACTTAAATCTACAATCTTTGTTCTTACACAAAAAGCCATTCTAACAGTAATAACTTTTGTTCGACATGTTTCTACGCTTTAAACTATTCACGAGTATTTCTTACTCAAATAGTAATAAAATTAGTTATTCTATGATTGCAAACAGATTTTTTTTGGTTGTATTTCATGAACCTGATTTCCACCACAGATTACTACACCTCAACCAGTCACATTTATTTTTTACCATTCACTATTTTATTCTCAAGATCAATTCCATAATCCAATTATTCTAGAAAGCGACCTAAAAGTTTCTGGTCGGTCAGTATTGGTAAAATTTCTAAGAAGCATCAACCACGTGTCCCAGATATCAAACTTATCCAATATAAACTTGTAATAGTTCATAACCTAAAATGATTTTTTTTTGCTACGAATATATATTGCTACGACGGAATGCTACGCCGCGCGGTATCTGTGCTACGTAACGTACTCGTCCGTAGGCGGATTTGCGATTGCGCTGTAGCGAACACGTTTTCCTATCTACTGGGCGATAAAAATCCTTTCACATTTTTTATGACTTGGTTTTAAAGTGATAACAATAAAGATTTATTTTATTTTGAGTACGTGTTTATTCTCGTACGACGTATGTGATTCTAGACTACATAGTTCTTGGATCAAATGAAAATTAGATATCTGAGAGAAAATGAATGTACAAGTAATTTCATTATTCATGTACATATAAGTAGATACTGACTGACTCGTACTGTACGAGTCATTGGCCCTCAATTAATTTATTCCTTTCACTCCGCTTTCCCACAGAACCGCAAACATTCTAATTTATTCCATTCATCGACAACAACTTCAAAGTAAGGAATCATTATTATTTAACCAAGAAAATGGAATTGAAACAACAATTTACATTTTTATTTATTTAAAAGACACATTTTATAAAATTATCTCACACGTGATAGAACTAATATTAATCTAGAAAGTAACGAATAATGTCTGTATGCCGCACTTAAATGCACTTCAAAAATGCAGCAGGCAGATGGTGATTGTGTATTCATAGGGTTCCACGTACCGGCTGCACTTTTAACATTATACGAATACACACACATAAAGCAAATAATTGCAAACATGGGCGATCTGATGAAACATACAACTGATACCAAACAAAGGAAAGGCCTCCAGTTGATAATTGCCATTGATATGACGGACTAATGATGTATGATAACACACGGGAACATTTATTCGAAATACTGTAACATTGTACACAACACGTAATATTTTACATTACTTCTACAACTGTGATATACGTACATAGTAATTGTACATTAGTAAATAAGCATATACTTAGATAGATTTACATTGTGCGTCATTTAAACCATAATTTGAGACAATAGCTTTCAATTTTGGACTTAAGTAATTGTCCAAGCAAAATGCTGGGGAACTTACCGACTGGTTAAATAAACTATATTTTAAACTTTACGTATACTATATAACGTATCGTTGACAAAAGTTTTCCGAGTCTCAAGAGATTTGCTTAAGCAAGCACATAATTAATGTCTTTTGGTCGTACCACCACAACCGACACGTAAATGGTTTAAATAACGCTCATTTCGACCAATCTCACTATCCGATAATTATTTACCTTAGTCTGAATGATGGAAAACCACACATTAAATGCGAAAATGGATCAGCAACATACGCGACTGACAGAATTGATCGAGTGCCAACAAATAATCGGGTCAAGCTGACATGAGTACTAACATTTAGGTACTCACTTATCTACTTATCAGATTTCAAAGTATATATATATAAATATATTGGTAGACATCTACACTACTTCTTATATTTTTACAGCGTAACTTGATATGGAAGATGGAACAACACGTGCCAGAGCAATTTCATTTTACTAGCCACTGTTGCCCTAGAGCCGGGTCTAGCTAGATACATAATATTGTAGGCGTCTAATTTACACAAAAGATGAAAACGGAGATTATTATGGAACGGTCGAGTGAATCTTTTGTTAATTAACAAAATGTCATAAACAGTCTCATTGGCTGACGTTTAGATAACAGACAAAAGCTTTTTATTATGATTCTGACATGATTGTTAAAAGGTAATTTATTGCTTGCTGGCTTAGGGCGATGCTGATGTTTTTTTAACGTGTAGGTGAAGTACATTATACATATGTGGCCAAGTGGGTTGTAGTTCTCTAGAAGTGGTAAACCACTTCCTGCTTATAGAGTTACATAACTCGGCAAGAGAGTTTCATTTGGCACACGCGAACCACGTTACCCACGTATTATGTAGATGCTAATTGTTTATTGCACGAAGATAACCAGTATGCCAGCTCCTTGAATACATCTATATTTGTATATTCCAGTGCAATTCCTTGAATAACGATATTCCAGCATCGTACCGTCTTAAAATGATTTGACGAATGGCATACTCTCCAGATGGTAACAATAAATATATTTTAGGACCTACCGCGAATATCATAACTTTAACATTTTCATCCCGTAAACTGAAAGTTCGAGATGAAAGCGAATTCGCATTTACATGGTAGGTATGAACGGCGCCGTCGGTTATACTTTGTTTTTCACATTTGACCTTTACACCCGCTGTGTAAATTTAAATTTGTTGTTATAGATATAAAGGTTTATAGTGAGAGGTAAACCGAGGTTATCAGTTGTTGGAGTTGAGCAGGCTTAATCAGTGTAGAGGCCTTCGTAGAGGGATCTTGGCATGTGCTCGGCGAGTAAGGACTTTAGTTTCTCTCGGGGGGAGACGGGCGTGTAGCGTGCGAGCGGGAACGTGCGTGTCACTCCATCACTGAGGGCACGTGTCACGGCGGTCAGGTCGGCGTCCTGGAACCGATACAACTCATTACTCATCATTCTCGTGCCTTTGACGTCATTTCACCACTAATGAAGCGTAAACAATAAAAGGAGATAAAATCACTGATGTGAAAACTGTGTGTGAAAATTACAAAATCGGCTCACCAAACACTTCTCACATCACTAACTTTGTTGGTAACAAAAAGGTACAATTTAAGATAATTATCAACTTATTTTTATTATACAACTATAATAGTATAGTATAAGGTATTGTGTTTTTCTGTTTCACAATTCTCAGTCGTAGCATTCAGTCTTGAATTGTCCTGTTTGACAATATACCTATACTATGTATGTACTCGCCCCTTTCGCAAGACAATCCCTGAGGCTAAAGAGGGTGTACTGCTGACTTCGGGAAATAACAGGCACGATTTTTATCATGTAGTATATAACTGAAAGGTTATTTGTCAAATAAACGATTATTTATATTTTATAACTATTCGTTTAGGTACGCTGAGAAATTAGATCGTTTGTATTTTACGACTTGTAAACAAATAGATCTTGTAAAAAATATAAATATGTTAATGTTTCCTGCTCAACTTAAGATCATAAAGAACTAAATGAATAAAAATGTAATTTGACCTTACCATTATTGAATTCTCAATAAAGATACAGATGGTTAGATAATTACAATGTATTACATGCATATCTTAAACGGGTTAAAACTTGAAACAAGTTGCCGAAAAATACGCTGTTATGTTAGGTGTATTTTTTTGTAGCGTATTTTTCGGCGCGTAGCATATCTAATAAGTTGTATAAAGATATGGAAATACAATGATAACAATTATCTGTCTATACGAATGCTAAGTTTACATAAACAATTTGATTTCCTTTCGTCGTATTTATTATGCAGAAAGGAGTTTGTTTACATAACTGATTCTAAGAACCAGTTTGGTAAGGAGAGCTATTGATTTTCCGACTTCTGATTGTATTTACATCTATCTAAGCACTTAATGATAATAGAATAGTTTAGTTGTTCTCAAAAGTTTTCAAATAGTTTAATTGCTTTCTATCGATTACCTGTATTAAGTAGGTATTACGTACACAATGTGAAATCTACATAGGTACTATTCTGGTATTTTGTGTTGTTGAAACAGAGAGATAAAGGAGGCAGAGAAGTAATCAACATATAATAAGTATGTAAAAGAAATTGTTTTTTTTTTCAATTTAACTGAGAGCGAGTTTCTTTGCGTGATGCAGTGTTTCTACGGACCTCCCTACGGAGGCCCTAGATTTGAAATACCGTTATGACTCCACATTATTTTAGCTAACATTAGTTGTACTTAAAAGTGGAGACACTTATGGGAACAACTTAAGAGCTATTTGAGATCGTAAAGAGAATAATTATTCAAAAGAGAAAGCGCTGAGGCGAAAACCATAGCCACGATTTTATGAAAACTTTTTTGTTCTGAATAATTACATTTTTGTGTACGCTAAGAACATTATTTTAATTTTTTTTTGTATTTTTCTAGAAGTGTACGTAAAGGAATTCAAATAAAATGCGGACGTTCAAAGCACATATGTTCGTAGTTGGAATATAGCATAAACCCAAAGACGTGGGTCGGCTTAGGTATTCCTATTTTATTATTCGGAGAAGGATATGGGTTAAACAGGCGTTCACAAAAACAAGTGAAATGAATCAAAACAATTTCGTCTTACATTTTTCATACCTACACAGAATGTGAATGTGACATTTGCCTGAAGTCGGTAGTGTCCCTTATTAAGCCGTTTATTTACTTCTAATTTTATAACAAAGTCAACCGTTTTTCATTAAAAAAACATGTAACCTATTTTACCGAGCCTTGATATTCAAATTATGGGACGGTAGCTTGTATAATTTGTGACACGACCTTTTGGTGATGTAGGTACTGTGTAGATAGGTGAAAATGATGTACGTTATCAATATTTCGTATCGCAAAAGAATTGACAAAATGGTGGCGCAGACGGGTACATATCCACCTACACTTGAAGAATGTAATATTGAGGCGTCGCGTCGCCGTGTTTATAAGTAGGTACACAACTAAAGCTATAAATACGAAGAAATTACGCGTTGTCACGTATTTACTACTTACGGCGCTTTTAGTGTACTTCTCGAGGCTTCGCAGGGCGTTTTCGAAGTAGTCTTCACCGTATGCGCCTTTTTGTTCGTCGCTGAGTCTCTTCCACATATCACGGGCTTGTTCTAGAAGTTTCTCTTCGGAGAGCCAAGCGCTGCCTGTTGTGTATTCACCAGCTGCTACCACCACCTGCCAATAAACTGAGTATAAGTACAAAATCCAAGTAGCACGCATAAATATCCAATTTACCTTACTGAAGAGTTATTATTAGACGGTGCGTAGGTGACTAGTGTGATGATGTATTAGCGGCTAACTAACCGTGCCTTAGAAAGTTCTTGCTGCTTATAAAAACTTTAACGGATCCATTAGGCTGATGCTCAAGTTTCACGTAAACTCTTAAGTTGAGAGGAATAGACATAACATAGGTACTACACACACATCGAACTTATTCTTATACTTTCTCACTAAGTAGAACTTCTACGTCAATGGCATTTCTACATCTATACTAATATTATAAAGAGGTAAAATTAGTTAGTTTGTAAGTTTGTTTGTAGGGGGTAATCTTTGGAACCGCTGGTCGGATTGCCAAAATTCTTTCACTGATAGGTGGCTTCAATGTTCTTGAGTGCTATAGGCTATAAAACATCACGCTACGATTAAATGGAGCAGAGCAGCGGGTGAAACCGCGCAAGAGTAGCAAGTACAACATATAAAGCCAACATATAAAGCGGTCTGACATTTTACACTGGAATTAGTTTTGATGTCTTATCTCTGGGCAGCAATTTATGAAGAGTCGACCTCATTTATCTCTAAAATATGGCGTAAAAGTGCTAGTTCGTAGTCTGTTTACTGAATAAATATCATTTATCATTTAAAAAATTCAACTTCTCTGTGAGATTTCTTAGCAGAATCCAATTAAAATTTCATTAGGAAGAAAAGCTATTGTTGCTATGTACTTTTTAATGTACAAAATTGTTTTTTTATTAGAATAATCGCAGTGGGCGGTACTCGGAACAGAGGAAGCATAGCCTGTGTTCCGCAGTTTACAAATACAGGTATGATTTCACAAAGTGTGAGTGACGGTACCACTCGCAGTGTAATTAATTTTGACGGTTTGTTTTACTGAATATATTCGTACATTTATACATATATATTCTACCTATATACATATATATGTAGGTTTGTGTAGATCCGGACACGCGTCGAATTTTAATTGTTACCACATTGGCATTCGATCAATATTGGACCGTTTGTACGTATGTACATGTGATGGACATTCCGTATAAATATCTGACGGCAATACGCCATATGTTAGATGTGTGAGTTACGTAATATCAAGGCAAATCTAGAACTATAATTTGCGTCATAAATGTATCTACTGATTTTGAATGATAATATTATGCTATTCGTACGGGTATAAAACATAATATTGTTTTTAGCTTTTTAACCTCACGATTTTCTAAAAACACAAACTTATACAAATAAGTTTATGCTGTCATAAAATTTAACGGATACTTGTTCCCGAATGCTGGCGGTAAATCAATTATTAATTCTCCAAACATTAATTAACGCCATATTTCGTTTTACTTGACGGAGAGAGTGGGTGTTCGCGGTAATTGATTCTCATTTTATTCACATTAAGTACGACCTTGGAGTATTTTATCATAAAGAATTCATAACGGAAAAATGTGTGAGTGAAAAATTTCGTTTGAGATAAAACAACCTTTTTAAAAACTTAATGCTTAAAATCGTATTTATGTATATAACTAAAATTAAAAGTTTGAGCTACGTCACAGTTGCTATGTTTTAGTACATCCTTTGAATATTTTCAGAGGTGAATCAGTTATACTGGAAATAAAAATATTGCACTTGACGTCAAGAGCTAGTTTATTTGGTGCGTCAAAGACTTGAGTTTTTATTTAGGCGTAGTGTATTAGTAGAAGAACTAACAGTTGCCAAAATAAAATAAATACGTGCGAAACAAATTATTTTGTGGTGCTTATTTTATCCTCATTATAATGTTCTACCCAATTAATTATAGTAAACGTTTCCCCGTTTCGTAGTCTGTAATTTAAGGTTATAAATAGATGGATACAGAACTATTTTACAATCAAATGATAACAAAACGTATCTCCTATCTCATGTATTTGATTGATTGTGATTTTGATGTGCACATCTTGATAAAATGGACGATTCACGATTCATTTGCATTATCACTAGCTCGTAGCTTTTACATACATATTTATCATTAGCGTAATTGCTCGGATGATTATAGGGTTGGGCTGAGCTACGATATTTTTGGCTTTTGGAAGTACATATGTACAATATTGTACAAGCATGTTTCCGAATTCTCAGGATACCACTTTTTATATTTAACTAGCCGCCCGCCCCTGATTCACCCGGTTATCCAACCGGTTGCGATTTCCAGATCTTCCTCTCTTCTCTACTCTTCAAAATCTATCTTTCATAAAAACCTTCTCCTAGCAATAAGCAAAATTGGCAAAATTGGTCCAGGCGTTTTCGAGTTATGCGCTTACATACATACATTTGATATTCTTTTTAGTTTCGCCGTGTCTTTTTGTATTATAGACGAGAAGTGGCGTGTAAAAGTTCGTCTTCATCAAACCATGAAACCCAAAATAGATGTAAGACAATATAAATTCTAATTAATGTTAATTAAGTGGCCATTAAAACGACATTAATTGTGGTGTAGGCCTTAGATTACAATATGGCTGTATAGAATATCCTACCAACAGGTTAACAATCTAATCCCGAATAATATAGAGCAGTTTGATAATGTTCTGTAGTAGGAGTAACGAGCTAAGCTAATTTAAGTGCTGTATGAACCTAGAAACTAATCTAAAATTATACCACCTTGTTTGCCATAGTGGGGCGAAACATATGAAATATTAAAGCGCCTTGTTATACCCCGGTACTAACCCCTTGACATCTATTCAAGGAATACAATTTTGTCATGTCACAGAATTAGGTAACATTTATTACATGCATAGTATGATGAAGCAAAGAGCTAGGTATGTTTGTTCGTAGTGAAAATTGTAGTTTTACAATTTAATTAAGATATTATGTTTGATGCACTACCAGCTGGTTGTCATATTTTTCATTAAACTAAATAAACCTTGTTTTGTTGTGTGGTTTTTGTCTGTACATGCCATAGTGTCACCATGACGTCTTAATGAAATCGAATACAACAATTAACGATCAACCTCTCTTTTATCGATAAATGAGACACAATAAAAGTATGCACATTGCGCCTCGCATATATCCGCGTGTAATAGTAGGATACAGGATACAGTTGTTTGTTTTTTATTTGTACTTTTTTGTATTTAATTATATTTTGTGTTTTTTTTTTATAATTGAATATTTTTTATCCGTGCCTTTTGTTTTTTATTTGTAACTCTTTTTTGACAATTCGTAGTTAATTTAAAAAAGAGCTAACCTAGATTTTCATGTTAATTTTACTGGACACTATCAAGACAATTTTTCAGCCAAGTAACAATTACAGCTAGTTTTACAATAACAAATGTGCCTACATTTGTTGCGTATTCATTGTTCTACATTGTGACCTAATTTTTAGAGTTTTTAATCCGTGTCATCAACTGTATTCCCGTAGGAATCCTTTCCATTTGTAGGATTAAAAATGTTCTAAGTCCAAATCCAGGTCATGGTCGAGAGGTGAACCAAATTACATCGGAATCCCTCACGTAGTTAAGGTATGCCATACGTAACTGCTAGTTCATTAGTGGGTGTTATATGACTATTGTATCTACATCTACATGTAGTTAGTAATAGCTGCTGGGAAACTTGATGGCTTTATATAACTTAAAGGTATGTAATTATGTAAAAGTAGTCTGATATGAATAATTCTTCGGGAAACATGTAATTTACAACTGTAGTTTTTTATGTGATACGTCAAACGAGGTTGTGGATTACATGATGTTAAGCAATCGGCGCCGCATGATACCTGCAACACCAGCGGAGCTGCAAGTGCGTTGCCAGCATTATAGGTATAAAGAGTTTTGGAGGATTGGGCCTCCGATAACCCCACTCAGGCATCAAAACGCATCGTCATGGTTTTTTTAAATGCGCTGGTCGAGCCGGCCCATTCGTGCGGAACCGTGGCTCTCCCACGATTACGTATCCAGAGTGGATTGCGGCTGACATTCACACTCCCTCCCACCCAACCCAGAACGGGTGAAAATAAGAGAAGATTTTCTCCAATAAAAGTGTCCCTATGTAGGGTTTAACAAAATACGCTCATTAAATCATAGGTACTACTAATAAAGAAGAGTTAAGAATTTGTCCACAAACAAAATGATACTCTTGAAAATGTAGGAACACAATATCCTTCCACCAATAAACCGTACCATTGACAAAAAAATAATTAATGTAATGTCAGAAGACACTAAGACACTGATTGATCGGTGTCCAAACAAAATAACGGTAGCTACACAAAGAATCGTTTCTTAGACGACATTTTTTAAATGGGATATCTTTGTTATCCTGGTAATTAATCAAAATTTCTACCTAAGAAAATAGTTTTATTCGCCCACCGCTGGGATTTGCTCACAATTCTAGTTTTCCTCAAGCAACTACCTGGCTAACTCAGCGGCCATTAGTTCTCGTGGTACTGTTATTAAAGTATTAACAATGTTGTAGTTTCGTCGTCGAGGTAGACTTGATTAGTAACTAGGCGACAAGTGACAGTTTCAACTAAGCTTTGGTAGGCTTTATTACTGAATTTGTGTATGACATGTATTTTGATGTACTATAAAGGTTAACTAGATGTTTTATTAAGACTAGCTTCTGGCTAGTTTACACGAACTAAGACCCTGAGAAGTAAAGTCAGGCGTGGTTGCGGGCATAAGCACAATTATGCCAAATACGGTCCTGGCTCTGAGTAGAAAGACCGGTGTGGTTTTTTGTCAGTAAGAGATCTGATACTGACAAAAAACTGGTACCAATTAGGGCGGGAGAAGACATTTGATGATTTTCCCATCTCAACAATAATTTTATTCAATGACTTTAATATTATCTCTCTGATTTAAGCGTCTAGGCTTTCTGAAAGAAAAATTCTTAGGTTTTTATTAGAGTTTCCGTGTGCTAATAAATAACACATGACGTAAGATTCTACGAATCGTTGGTGATTGCGCTCTGTGGTTACTGCTGAACCTCGTGAAACCAATAAAAGGTGAGTTTGTCTTTGTATAAATGTACCTATGTGAGTTCCACTAGTTTTACGTCATACAAAATGTATTTGAGATTTGTTATGCAACTTAGAACGGTGTAAGTCTTTGAAGTGATATGGCAATTTGCACTCTTTGAACGGCTGTATAATGTCTCTTTATCTTTGCAAGTAGCTCTGATATAGCTGATAACATCGATAGATTTTAAAGGGTTTATTTATGGAAGATGCAGTATTGTATTAAGCAATTAGGCTTCTCCTGTAATAGTACTCTTTAAAATACACAGTAAAACACACATACACACCCAATCTTACACACGTATAGAAGGGTTTCCAAAAAGATTTATCGTCCGCTGTGACATTTCTAAAATATAATAACACGTAGAAATTTTAAAATAATGTGAACACATTAGTATTAGATACAGAGCAACAAATTGGGAATCTCACAAACATTTGTCATTCTGTCTGCCGTCAAAAGGTAGTATATAATTGTAAATGTAGTAAACTGTAGAATTTCCTAATCTTTATATATAAAAATGGATCGCAAAATGTGTTGGTAAGCGCATAACTCAACAACGCTTGGATTAATTTTGCTAATTCTTTTTTTGTTGTGTTTGTTATTGTTTGGAGAAGGATTAGAAAAGTAGAGGGGAAGTTTAGGAAAAGTGATCCGTGACAGTGAAAAGCGAGATAGTTGGACTCGAGCGAAGCGGGGGCGGGCCGCTAGTTTCAAATAAAATTCAGCTTAAGTACATGAAAAAGAGATTAAGTATTCGGACCGTTAACGCAAGCGTAGACAGACAAGAACTCCCTTCCAAATTTAAAAGGACTTCTACACAAAGAAGTTGTAAGGAAAAACGTTAAGGAATACGAAATTTGTAAGGGTTTTTAAAATATAATTACTTTTTCATTTAACTTTAGGAACATAATTAATTTATGTCAAGCCTAGTTAAAAGCCTTAAATACCTGACAACGGGTTCCACAAAGATGTGGTTAAACCCTTGGTGGGTAGTGAAAGGCAAATGGCTGTCGCTCTATGTAAAATGTAAAATACTAACTTTTAGCCAAATCTTGTTAAGACTTTTGACCACAGTGTATGTAAGGCAAAACATTTTACTTCAAATAATTTATATACAGGCACTTTTGTAGTTTTGAAATTGTGTCCATTAGTACTACCACAAATTAGCTTATGTGTAAATCCGTTTATGAAAGAATAATAAAACAATTAAAGAAAACTACTGCACGGAAGGCGCAGTTGCTGGGCAACTGGATGCCGAGCAACATGTCGCGGATTCGATTGCCGAACGGAACAACGCTTTTTGTGATCCACAAATTGTTTTTCCGGGTCTGGGTGTGATGTGTATGTGAAACTTTATGTTTATAAACGTACCCACGACACAGGAGCAAAACCTAGGGCCAGGCAAGGATTAAAAAAAAAGAAAAGATATTCTATAAAAATGTAGTTATGAAAAGGTTAGTATATAATTTTGGGGCTTACGCAATCGACGCCTCGTGGTTTTAGCTCGCGGCGGAGGCAGGCAGCTAGAGCATCCAAAGCAGCAAGCGAGGCAGCATGGACGCCTCGCACAGGGGCTGCGACGTGGGTGAGGATCGAAGAGGCCAGCACCACACGGCCTCGAGCACGCCTCACCAAGGGTAGCATCACCTGCACCAGTCGAGCTGGACCTGTGCACCAAGATCATTTCTGTAAATTTTTCAATCTACGTCGCCAATAGTCATTAACCATTGTTCTTACTCCGTGTCATTAACACTGTTTGATGAACCATATGAGTTGCAGCAGTGTGTTATATGGAAAATTCCTTTGTTCTTACTCCGTGGAAAATTCCATTCTTAATTTTCTTTATGGTGACATTTTCTGATATTATTCGAATCATGTGTAGTAGATAGGCAGTAAAATGTAACACTAATAACCGTTATTAATTAACACTAATTTTCATGTGTCAGTCAAGCTACCATTTAGAGTAATTTCGAAATTAGATTATATTTTTCAATCAATAATAATAAGCGGTCAATACTGAATATATACATACTATATATATATATTTAACCCAATTTACTTATTATTACAAAGTCGTTAAGGCTACGGATGTCGAAAAGGCAATCAAATCAAATGGAGCTTTGAACGGTCTTGTGAAACGGCTATTCATATTTAAGTGTTTTTTTTACGTAATGGACATGTTTGTATACATATTTCTCATTAGAATATATTTGAATTGCTCAATTATTAATATTACCTGTAAAAATGGCGTATTTTTTTTTGCTTTTATTTTTTCGGTTTTTTTTTATTATTTAATAGGTCGGCAAACGAGCAGACGGATTACCTGATGGTAAGCAATCAGCGCCGCCCATGGACACTCGCAACGGAGGAGTTACGAGTGCGTTGCCGACCTTTTAGGGATTAGGGATTTGGAGATTTATGGATTTAGAAGGGATTGGGGGAGGGGAAGGATTGGGCCTCCGGTAACCTCACTCACACGGCGAAACACAACGCTGTGGTTATTTCACGCCGGTTTTCTGTGAGGCCGTGGTATCACTCCGGTCGAGCCGACCCATTCGTGCCGAAGCATGGCTCTCCCACATTTGATCGGTTAACACAAAATAATTAACATACTTCTATAAAAAACTAGGTTGCAATTTTTAGATCTTCCCCTATACTCTTCTAAATGTATCCTTCATAAAAACCTTCTCATGACAATAATAAATACAACAGCAAAAAATGGCTAAATCAGTCCAGGCGTTGTTGAGTTATGCGCTTACCAACGCATTTTACAATTCATTTTTATTTATATCTTACTTATATTATAATTGCGAAAGTTACGATGTTTAGGTGTTTGTTACTCAATCAGGCCAAAACGGCTTGACGGACTTGGATGAAATTTGGCACAGGCATTGGATACACTCCGGAATATACATATAGGCTACTTTTTATCAACACACCACGCGGGCGAAGCTTCTGGCGGAAGCTAGTAGATGTATAGGCAAATGAAAAATAAAATGCAAGGTTAACTCAAGTTAATTCAATAAATAAGGTTTTTTTAAAAAGGTATTAAATGTCTAGCTAGAAAACAATCATTTTTGTTTATATAACCAGTGTAAGCAGAATATAATAGTAACAATAATTTGTTAAAACTGACCACAAATAAACGACAATTTGAAATCCGAAGATACCTAGTACCTTGCTAATTAGCTCACCGCTAAAATTTATTCTTAACTTAATTAACTGCGAGGGAACGTGCAATTTTTTGCTACTGAAAATTAAATCTTCATTTTTTCCTCTGTCCGATATTAAGTTTTCCATTATGATGTTAATATTCTTTTTGAATTATGGCAGCTAGTCAAAGGCGAAATTGGTTTGATAATAAAGTATTTTACGAATCACGTTTGATGAACAATATAACTTTAAAAAATAATGAACATTATGCTAAACTAAATTCAAAAGGAAAATTGTATTTTAAGATCTCTAGCATTGTTAAATAATTTACTTAATAAGTACTATTCTGTGTCTTACTGTAAACGTAAGTGTTAACAAAATATTTTCAATGCATTTCCATTTATCGCGAAAACACCCTTTTAAAATGTTTTTGACCAAATTTATAATTCGACAATCCAACAGTTAACGCCATCTAGCGGCATTTCCACGAAACATGTCTACGGTTACTCACCAAGCAAGTTTACATCCATCGCGCGCTTGATGACGGAGAAAGGCACCCATTCTAGTTCACCAAGTGCACACCACGATTCGCAGTTGACAACGGCCCACAGCCCTTGCGCGCCCTCTGGCAGGTGATCCACGATGTATAGAGACGCTGAGAGAATCTACCGCAAAACAGTTTCAAGTTACTGAAAATGTTTCCAGAAATCACCGCCAGATCTCGTTTGCATCTACATCTACAAATAGATTGTTACTCGACAAAATGGGACATGTCAAAAAACGATTTTTTCAAATCGAATTTCAGAAAGTTCTAGATTTTTGGCATGAGAAATTATTTTCTGGACAGTTTACAATTGCATATTACTTTTAATTTGAAATTTATTTTCGTTTTGTCATTATTAACTTGTCATAGTCTGTTGGTCTCCGCCAAACTCTTAATTCTCGTATTAATCATTTTTATAAGAAAAAAACTCGAATCTTGTATGCCTCTATTAACTACAACTATGTCTATTTTGAATTGGGTTTTGGCTTAACATTTGCAGCATGATAGCTTTAGAAGCATCTATATGTGTCTACTTTTGTATAAAAAAAGTAAACGACAATCTAATTTCGAAGAAAAATGAGGTTAAGGTTTACTATTTGACGACGTTGTAGACACTGAAAGACAATTTTATAACGCTGTATTTTCAGGTTTGTTTGTGTCTATACACCGAAAATATCTACTTTAAACATGTTTTTTGCATTAGCACTCAAAATAAGAATTAAGCAGTAAATAATTCGCCATTGTCGACTACCGTTCTCTAATAATGGTTGATTTATACAAAAACAAAAATAAGCATTATCACATAGGCACAAACAAATTCGTCTGATAACAAATTGCAAGTTTGTTTCACTTCAGAATTTGGGCAATTAATCTTATCAAAAGTTGGGAACATTTCTCGAACCGTAAATACATTTTGAACTCGTGCGTTATGAGGCGTCGACGGAGCGAAAGATACAATGGGAAGAAAAAGGGATTTTTTAACGAATACGTACCATGTTATTCTACATTGTTTTTAATGTTGTACTACGTGGGCGGTCGCTTTAACCTCGTGATTGTAACATTTTCTTTTTCGTTGCCAACCTGAATTAATTTAGAGTCGAGTACATCCCTAAATTGGGGTTTGCTAGGAGCGGTACACGTACAAAATTAATTTACAAAGACTTTAGCTATGTACTTGTACCTATACCTACAAGCGGCTTAGACTATGAGGCCAAAATTGTTATTATATAACGTTTCTCCGCCGTTGTACTCCAGATATTATTAATTATACTTATTTACATATAAACGGGTTTAAGGATTAAAGAGCAACCCTAGAAATAAAGTTAACCTAATTGATAGTCTTGAATGAAAGTTGTTTGAGTATATTTTGGTCTTTACGTTTAATTGAATATTATTTTTGCAAGCGACGTCAAGAAATTATGACGAATTGATTTATTTTAGAAGAATCACCTGAGTTTCTGACGTAATGTCAAGTTGAAGCGTGTGCAGTCTTCCAGAACAGTCTTCTTTGAGCATGTCGGCGTCTATGTTACCGGCTTTACTTTGGAATCCAGCGAAGACATGGTAGCCGAGATCATCCAGACGTCTTGCGAGAGCATTTCCCAGCACGTTATCACAGCCCGTCACCAGAACAGCTTTTCCAGCTGCAGTTACCTGTATGCAAGAGAATTTTTCTTAAACTAACAAGTCATGTAAAATTAGTTATACACTTCAGTCGTAAAAATATCGCGTCACGAATACGGGTAAACCACGACTTTCATTTATACTGAAACTAGAGTTACGAGAACCCATGAACCCTTTCAATCATGCTAGTATTGTTTCCATGCCTGAAATAATTATATCTCATTAGGGTAGGAACGTTTTGCTACATCAGATATAACGGGCGGGCGACGAAATTAAGTTTTCGTCGAAAATAGATGACGACAGCTTGATTGATGTCCGTTATAATAACAGCTGAGTGAATATTTTATTCAAGCATTTGTACGTACCTATGCGTGACGCAGTGACGTCCGAGGTTAACTATTTCAGGGTTGCCTGATCGTTAATTCTTAATCTTGTAGTCCTCTCAATGTTCAAAGTCACGCACCAATCACATATCGTGTTTGCATACATTTGGTAATTAATGTTCGTACTCGTTTTATAGTTTTCTTCGTTCATACAGCAACGTATGGTAAAGTCGCTCGCTTTAATGAACAGGGATAGGTGCTAGTTTTACAAAGGTAACGTATTCACACCTCATTAGGTTCGCTTCAAACCTGAATATTTCAAATACTACGACTTAACATTTAGTTTCTTTGAAAAATGGCAATTTATCATTCGACTAAAAGATGTTATGATACCTAAATAAAATAACGAACGTTAGCAGTTGTTTACATATCATACATATAACTCTCAAGCAATAAATAACATTAATATAAAAATACCAGATATTGTTTTAGAGACGAGGCTGTTTTCTTTCATTCATAGTTTATAAAACCGAAAGTTCAAATGTGGATTATCATAAAAATATTTGGAGTTAGTAAGAAAACACCATGAATATTTTATTTAGTAGTGTCTATTCAGTAAAAACACGACCATTAACCTATTTTAAATCGGACTTTCGAATGGATTGATGACGCAAGTACGGAGGCTGGCACAATGGTACAATTGTTGCAATCTCCTTGGCCATTTGTAATGCGACACATTCACACTGACATTTTAGGGGTAATATTGCACAATATCTCCGAATATTTATATCGTAAGGTGAAGAAGCGTTTTTGTAACGCACATAAGCTTTTCTTCATGTTTCCAACAACTTACGACAGATTTGTTTTAACATTTCAAAAGTGCTCTTGATAATTGTATTCGTATAATTATATTATATTCAGTTTAGTTATAAAAGTTACGCCACAAAACACATTTCAATTTGTTTACTAAATCTTCAATTTGTACGGTAGGTTTGTAATAATACTCAGCCGCAGCGGGTTACAGAGACTAGGCCACAAATCAAAATTATCTAACTAGTTCGCATGCAATCTCGTTACTAATTCCATGAAATTCAACCATTCATTTTTCTGTTCGGTTATGGATGGATGTGGAGGGAGATGTTCTGTCTATTTCCATGTCGAATGATTCATTGAGGTACTTTTCTAGATTTTTGTAATAAACTATATTTTTTTTTTATGTGTTAGGACGGCAAACGAGCAAACGTATTACCTGATGGTAAGCAATCGGCGCCGCCCATGGACACCCGTAACACCAAAAGAGTTACGAGTGCGTTGCCGGCCTTTTAGGGCTTCGGATATTTAAGGGTTGGGAAGGGATCGAGTAGTGGCAGGGATTGGGCCTCGGGTAACCTCACCCACACGGCGAAACACAACGGTGTGGTTCTTTCACGTAGGTTTTTTGTGAGGCCGTGGTATCACTCCGGTCGAGTCGACCCATTTATGCCGAAGCATGGCTATGCCACACTTAAAAGAATAGGTATACTTTATATAACATACAAGTATTTTATAGATCTAGTATTTCAGTCAAGCTAGAGAGGTACTTATTAAAACATATCCACTTTTCGCTAATTAATTATCTGCTTTAGCCCAATTGCAATAAGAAGCGAACCTGTCAAACACCAGCTATATTTCAGACTATATGCTATTGTTCAGAATTTCTAAAATCGAACAATCCAATAATACTTTGGCTGGTTTTGATTTTCGAGTGATTATCGTAATTATTTTATTAATAATAACTTGTAATTGAAATATTCGACTATACAAACTAAATAAACTCTTTCGTTTAGGTTATTACAAGAGAAATTGAGTTATTCTGTCCTTCCCTTGGGAGGCTGCGACCTGATTCTATGTGCTCTGCTGTTACCGACTACTCAGGTAATCTTCAAAATGTTTATTCGTAAAAAACGAAGCAAAGGCGTATTATCAGGAGACTTACATACCAGATTACTTCCCACATTATGTGGATTTGTGGAAGATTTGTCAAGTATTATGGACTTGATATACTCTTCTATTATCTAGGTACGTTTCACAGTGATCCTTAATTTTTTCGGAATTCCGAAAACTTATCCCCTGTTATAACCTATACAGTCTGTGTATGTGTATAGATTTTTGAACGCTACTGATGAAAGTTTTGAACGCTACTGATGAAAGTTGGGTAGAACAGCAGGTATTTATGTCTGGTTTACCAAATTTTTTACTAGTACTGCAAGACATCCCACGTTAGTACTTATCAATTCTAAGGTAAGTATTATTAGCAGCTTCTAGCTTTCTACATGCATTTCTTTTATTTTATCAATCTAAATAAAATAAATGGGTAATTCATTTGTGAATGCCTTTATAGCTATTGGCCATGAATATTTAGGCTCACAGAAAACGACATTTACTATCCTTACTTAATTTGTTAAATTAAATGCAAAAACAATATTCACATCACATAATTAGCCAAGGCCTCTTCTCACATGGGGAAGTATACAGTATAATTTAATTTTATTTTTCATTGTGTTTAAAGTGTGGGAGAGCCAAGCTTCGGCGCGAATGGCTCGGCTCGACCTGAGTGATACCACGGCGTCATAAAAAACCGGCGTGAAACAACCACAGCGTTGTGTTTCGCCGTGTGAGTGAGGTTACCGCAGGCCCAATCCCTTCCCATCTCCCATCCCTTCCCAATCCTTAAATATTCTAAACCTTTATCCCTAAAAGGCCGGTAACGTACTCGACAACAACTCCTTTGATGTTGCGGGTGTCCATGGGCGGCGCTGATTGCTTACCATCAGGTAATACGTCAGTTCGTTTGCCGACCTATACCATAAAAAAAAACATAGAATAAACTACAACGTTTCTGCTACACATATTCTATAGCTCATCTGGATGCAGTTATGAAGTAGAAAAAATATTTTAAATATTGTTTTTAAGCTTGACATTGGCGCGGAAAAGCCGTACCGTAGTGCTAGTATTAAAATAATATCGATTTGCTTACCATCTAATCTCTCTAGTGTAACAACGTTTGTGCTCTAACAGTACTAAGTACAAAGGATCGGTGATGAAGACAAACATTGATCCGCAACGTTTTCTAATCTCACCGCAGCTACAGTATCCCTCGGACTACTGGCTTTTCAGCATAAAATTAATGTAATCAATGCGAACCTCAGATGAATATTTAATAAAGTTCAAATCACTTTGACATTCGTATTTATTACGGAATGGGCTGGGTCCAATAGTATAACTAAATTTGATTTTAGTTTAGTCGTCATAGGCGTGACTGTCGAGCAATTAGCATTCTCATTTAACTAGAGTGGTTCAGTTAAAACCTCTATAGAATACTGTTTTTGTTAAATGTTTCACAGAGAGAAAAACATTAGAAAAAGATTTTGATCACAGCTCATATGCAATTCTATTTTTGGTTTTTATCTACGAAACTTAAAAAAAAATATTGTTTTCTGTTCTATATAGACAAGACCCGTTTTTATGTAATAAAAACTGGCTATAACTAGATGTTGGTCTACTTCAGGGGAGGAAACGCGAATCTTAATTACTTTATGAGTTTAGTTACGTATTATTTCATTGGAAAAACCATTATCTCTAATCTAAATTATTGTAGTTTCAGCCTACTTAATTGTGAATGGAGACGAAGAAAATTTCAAACGTAGGTACTTAACGATCGCAGGTAAGAGTTCCTTCACCCCGTTTCTGAAATATTCAGTTTGGTACAATGTCTCTTTTGTTTTCAGAATATTATTCCTGTAGTACCTGAGCGACAGAGGCTTTCTCGAAAAAAGCCCTTACATTATGGTGACAAGATGGATTTTTCTTTGCAGTGCTCAAATTTCTTTACGGCAATTAATGAGAGTTTTCTTAATAACGAAAAGATAATTATTACAGGGAATTAATTCTCGCCCTAGTTTGACCATTACAAGTGTAGTCGGAATCGTTATAACCATTTTAGAGAAGATTATTACAAAGGAACCTATGAACACATTGTACAGGGTGTATTGAAAAACTTATCTATCATAATTAATAAGCTCCATGTTTCAAATGGTATTACAGAAGATTTTCTGAAAAATCTGTAATTACAATTTGATTACTACCGACATTGTTCATAGTTTGTCGTGGTGCGGTCCGTCATATATTGCTACCTATTTATCCATATGTAAAGAATTTATTTGTTGCATTCCCAAACACTACCATATGAAGTAGGTCGGGGTGAGTGCTGTGAATGGCAACCAATTTTATGACCTATTATTTCTTATGGAGAGCGCACGATACGTGTATCTAGCTCTCGTCAGAATACCGGTGACGCACGAGTTACTGAGCCACACCGAGATCTGCTACCAGTTGAGGTAGTTTTGGCATTCAATCTTTATTTAACTATGGTCGTAAGACTAAAGGTAGCCTAGGCTATTAAATCCCAATTTTGAAAACAACTTTTTAGGTAAACCTACATAGTAAATTTACTTCTTCCTAAAAATTCACGTTTTACATTATATTTCCCAAGAGCCTTTTAGTTTGTAGAAAACAAAAGAGAAATATTAAAAGAAACAATTAAAGCTCTAGTTAAACTGTGAATTAACAAGATATATTTTACTCAGTTCAGGAATCGAATTTAATACCCTTTTTTTTGGTACTACCCGACCAATAGCATTCGGGAAAATCGATTACATTATGAATTTAAAATTACTCGGAATCGAGCCGAATCGGCTTCCACATTCCATTCACGTTTTCAGTCTGAATGTGTACAGATGTAATACTCTGCAGATTTCTATTTCATGTTTTAAGAAGCGTCGCGTCGCTGAAAACGCTACCTGCCTATGAATTATTAATTAATTATCCGGCGTGACTAAATATCTTAATTAATAACGCCCAGGAATTTCTCGCAGCAATTTAAAAAGTTCGATAAACTTGTAATGCTGTTTGGAATTACATTGTTTGATGATAGAAAAAGCTACGATTACTACTACGATATTAAATTATTGTTACGTTTGTTTTATAAAATCAATGTATGTGTTTCCAAAAATATATTTTAACGTCTTTCAATCAATTGTTATTAGAAATAGATTGTATAATTCCCATCTTAGTATTGCAATGTTTGAATGAATTATGAACTTGTCCGTGGCCTGTGCTATGTCTAGTACAAATCGCTGTAGCACTTTAGATTACTACCGATATTAAAACAAATGATATATGGCTTCCCATTTTGAATGCAATTTCTATTCCTGTTTGGTCAAGTGGTTTAACGTTTGGCACCAGTTCATAACAAATACAAAGGTGCCATTGATTTAACGCAGTGCTGCGACTTTGACTAGTTTAGACAACAAAACTAATTGATTTCGTATACATTTGATGGAAATAGTTTGCTAGAATTCCTGAACGTTACCTACCTGCTCGAGTTTAGAGTATGAGAATACGTTACACCGAAATCTCGAAACATTATTATATGGCACCAGCCCCAAGGTTGTTCAAATAGCACTCAGCGAGATTGTTTATGGCATTGATTACTATATAGATTTTGCTCCACAAATAGACCTTATTTATAGATCAATTTGTTTACTCCAACAGGACAAATAAAGCTCAATAACGTTTAATTTCGTATTTAAACAAGTTCGCAATAATTATCTTTATCATTAACAAATACTCTGTAGTGTAAACTAAATTGTGAAAATTGAAAACGTTGCATGTGGGAGGCTGAGAGCTTTGCTATGAATATTCATTAATTTAAATGAGGTAGTACAGGTGCTACAGCTGTTTCCTTATAGAGTCTATTGTTACGGTGCTTTTGTACAAGAATTTTCAACTCCAAACTTGATCTTCTTCGTGTCGACCTGAACAATTTTCACATAGAAACAGCAGCTCATGAATAGATACTCATGTATTCTGTAAACTTGGTTGAGAAGGTGGTTGGGGATGACGTTTCCAAGCATAATTTATGACGCAATTTGAGGCTAAAATTAACGCGGCATTTCAGTTCTTGCTTTAAAAATATGCTTACGTGCCACATCTTATATATCTCAGTACAAACTGCGTACATCTTGACATTGAGTTGATTTTTACAAATATAGATTCTTATCAACGACAGAGACGAAACACAGAATTGTGTTTATACAATATACAAATGAAATGATTTGCTAAAACTGAGTTAATTTTCGCAGTGTTGAAATAATAAATTTGTGAAAGTAAATGGTCTAGTAATAAACATTTATCTTACTGTTATTTACGTAATAGTTTAAAAAATAAACCGGGAGAGTGGTGGGCGGCGACTGATTGGCGTATCGTAACGTGTTGACTAACGACAGCCACAAGTTTACGTGTTTCTAATGTATTTATTTATACTTTATGGCTACCGTAAAACTGCGAACTATTCAACGTTTTCCTCAAAGTAATTGCAAGTTTCAGTAATAACGTGCTCATTAACGACTTTAGGATGTTACTTACCGCTGAATTCCTCTACAGATATTGAATATTATTATCATAATTTTTAATCCAGACTCTTAAATTACCTACACAAATACAGCTGAGTAACTTTGTGTAAAATGAGTCGCCGATGAGCACAAACTTACAGGCGCTGATTAGATTTGTGGAAACATGACTGCTTTGAATTTTATGAGTTTGCGAATAAAAAAATCAACTTGGCAACTTTGCTGGAAGTTTTGTTGAAAATTATGCTTTAATTGCTTGTACTTTGAGTAAAGTTTGGTAGACTTCAATTGCGTGGAGATTGCTTAGTGAAGTGAGTGAATAATTTTACCTGTAGATTATGGTAGAACCAGAGAGATCCGGTGACGGAGATTGAGAACCAGAGGAAGAGTGTGAACACTGACACGGAGCTTAGATGCAGGGCATTCAACACCGTTGATAGCACCACGGCCAAGGCATGACACAGTACTATCGGTAGGGCGCAGCGGTCGATAATGTCCCATGGCACCTCCTATGAAAAGAAATATAACATTTTGAAAATAAAAAACATTTAAATACACAATAGATTATTATTCCTGACTTGGTGTCTGAGGTATGTCAGTTTTATTAGTAATATTTTACAATATGGAATTCGTTCTATTTATGGAGGTTCGAAAGGACGGCTTAACTGGAGTGATATCATGGTCTCACAGGAAACCGAGGTGAAACAACGGGCCGGGCGGGAGGGAGTGTCAGACTCTTACTGACTAAAAACCCCCCTGTTCCTTCTCCTGCTCTGGGTCGAGGTCGCGGTGCCTCATTGCGCTTACCCCGCAACCCCGGCTGGTGAAACAACGCTTGCGTTGTATTTCGTCGTGTAAGTGAGGTAACCGAAGGCCCAATTTCTTTAGCGTCAGAAGGGATCTCTAAATTTAACCATCTCGGAAATATTCTGTTTGTTGACATATCTTAGAGTTATTCTAATCCTAATAATATTTAAAATATGAAAATTTGTAAGAATGTAAGGATGTATGTTTGTTTGTTATTCTTTCTCGCGAAAATAGCTAGACCGATTTGGTTGAAATTTGGTATGAAGATGATTATGACAGTATAGATTAATCAACATACAAAGCGGGCGAAGCCGCGGGCGGAAGCTACTATTCCATATTTGTATAATGTTGTAAGCCATACATAATATAGTAATGTGAATGAACAGACGATTTAATAAATAATTATACTAAAGTAAAGTAACATCTAAAGTTTAGAATATCTAAAAAACCACGAGAAAGTGAAGAGTAATCTTAGTAAAAGCTTCAAACATAAAACAATTTTATTAACAATTCACCTTAAATATTAATTTAATTATCAGTGCCTGATATCTTGGGTTAAATTACGAAGGGCTTTAGTTAATAAGTTTTCTCTAATAGTAGGTGTGTGGGTGTCGATAATACCCACCCTATCAAACACCGTTCAAGTACGTAGCCGCGAAAATGTTAGAATGTGTAAATCAACAAGTAAAGGTTTATATTTCACACAGAAGATAAGTGTGAAACTCAATGCCACTTGTAGTTATTTCTGGATATAAAATATCTTAAACGACCCGTAATTTCCCTATGAACCAGACAATTACGAAGTTATTAAAATATAATATTATCTTGTTAAAATATTAGGTTCTGAAGCACTCTGTGTGTTATACGATCTTCGAATTTATTAAGGAACGTTAATTAAATCGAATGTGAAATAAGATTCTATTCTTATACATATACCATAAGGTCGCACCTCTTCATTCTCATGGGGTAAGTAGACGTGCACATATAAAATATTATAATTCCAATGCAACAATCGGTTAACATATTGCTACATTTCGGACACAATTTAAAACTCCGCGCTATCCCCGAAAACGAGAGAGGAATAGATCCCAATACCTCTAGCTCAGCACTCACAATCACTCGAGCAACGAGGCGTTTCTATACTTCTTCATGTTTATTAGACTTGGCGCCCTTCACACATTTTCGCTTGATAAAACAGTTCTTTAATGATGTGCGGATCAAAGCGCCTCTTGCTATTAGATGTAGCAACTATTTAAAAATAAATAATGTATAATACTAATGACATTAATCATGACAGTCTACTCAAAAGTGGGACAGACGTTATTTAAGACACACAAAATTTAAGATAAACAGATGTTTTCGTTAGTTTAGAGTGTAACTGTAAATATAGAAAGTGAGTTTCTGTAATATGACAGGATAGATGATAGACTAAGAGCCAGTAATGTAATGGAATGATTTCATCCACTTATAAACCTTGTCTTCAACAACAAAGTGCTCGCTTCGACCTGTCAATTATTGTAACATCATAAAGATGACTGATTGAGATGTAAAAATAGCTATTATGAGTTTTTACACTGTAAACAATTCATCTACTTCAATGTGATATGTTTAAAAAAAAAGAGTAGGTACTACGAGCCAAAATTTCTTAATATACGTAAAAATGCAACTGACGTTGTATCGGTCGACTGTAAGCAAAATAAAATACAATACTTGTATTTCGTATGTTTACCCAAAGGTCATTCAAGATAATTGATTAAAGTGTTTATGCAGTTTATTTTCGTAAAGAAAGCAATAAAGAAACAATTTTTGTTTTCGCAGATGCGACACAGATTGTTTATGATTCATCCTCTGTGCCGCAAATAGAACAAAATTAAAATTTTCAAAAACATTCGCTGATATTTTAGATCGGTATTAAAATTGGCAACTCCCTGGTTGATGGGCTTCCTGTGGCTCCGGGTTATCCCTTTGATCGTGAACAGTAGGCACTTAACAATTTACTTACTACGTTATTTTAATTGTAATGTTTTAGTAATAACAAACTAGGGTTTGATAAATTTTAACAACGGATAAAGTGCGGTGTTTGCCTTTTGTTTTATTTATTGGCAACATTAATTATGAATGCGTTCTAAAGACGAAAATCTACAGCCATTAAAGCAATAACAATGAATATAAATAAAGATGACAATAATTACTTGCTACTAATAGTATTCATAGATGCATTATCATTTTCATTGAGGTTACCGAAGTATTGTTATTATACTACTTAGGTATCGAATTAGAGTGTCATTATGTTTATAAATACAAAGCTAGAAATAGTAGTCATTATCGCTTTTCACAAATTCTTACTATTGTTGTAAAAAGCGATTGTGTGTTTATTTTTTTTTTAACTTTCACCTTGGAACGAATTGCTTTTATGTGAGTTTATATACGATTTTGACCATTCGAGAAAAAAAATTTGGCGGATGGCCATTACTTTCTCTTGAAAATCAGTGCTATGCTGCAAAAGGAAAGCTATTCTCATCATCGTCGACGATCAGTGAGAGTACACCGCTTTACCATTGGTTTCCTCCATAAAAACATTTGACATAATTTTGTACTAGTAAGCGAGTTGGACGGAATATATTTTATATATTACAATGGCAAATTATTTATATTTGTGCATTTAAGAAATTATTTTTTTATTTCATGCGGTAGGTGTTCCCTATCCATTATACTTACATGACACAAGAATTTGGGAAATGAATTATTCTGGGTATAAATCGTAGAGCAAGGTCAGCCTGAGTGCTAAGGGACATGAGTTTACACTAACAGTCGAATAAGTCGAATAAATCAAATGAAACGGGAACATAAACCCAGCCCACACACGCGTAAATTTCTATCTACGTAAAACCACACCATAAAAGTTTCAGCTTAGTTGACATTTTAAAACTAAAAACATTGAAATTTTAATACCACCTAATATAAGGACGCTAAAGAGTTTTGTTTATTGAGATTCGTATTATACTGATTTATTTTTTTTAAATGTGTAGCAAATGTGCATGGCAGTGAATACCCGAAGTCGCGGTGGCCCGGAGGTTAAGGAGCCCGATTTTTATCCAAGGCAAGCACTAATGTGACTTTTGCCAAGTTACATGTACTTTCTATGATTATTTAGACACCACTGACATACGGTGAAGGTAAACATCGAGAGGAATAATATAATTTCTAATTGTAAGTTTGAAATCGTCAACCCGCATTAAGCAAGCGTGGTGATTAATGTTCTAACCTTCTCCGTATGAGAAGAGGCAAAGGTCTCTCTTTTAAATTTTTGCTGAACAAAGGTTCAGCAGTAGGCACTTATAGGCTGATGATGATAATGAATACCCGTAACGTTAGAAGAGTTGAGTGCAATGTCGGATGTTTGGGGATACCGTGTTTCAGGTGGTTCGGGGATTGAGGGTTCAGGAAGAGATAAGGGTAGGAAAGAATAGGGCCTTCGGTAAGCTCACTCATACGGCGAAATACAACGCTATGGTTGCTTCACACTTGTTTTCTGTGAGGTCGTGGTGTTTCCCCGATCGAGCCGGCTCATTCGGCATAAATGACACATAATGCCTTTTTTGATTGATGGTAGAAGATGGTATAGTTAGTACCTAACATTTTACAACGTCATACAATTATGTATTACCTAACTCGGTCGCGGGCGGGAAAATCATCAAATGACTTCTCCCGTCCAGGGTAAAGCGAGAGAGAGTGTCAGACGCTTACTGACTAAAAACTCCCCCGTTCCTTCTCCTGCTCTGGGCCGAGACCGTCGGTCGCGGTCCCTAACAATTGTTTTCGAAACAAAATCGTTACTAAGCAATAATTTAACTGATCATTAAAGCTATACAGCATAATGAAATTCTAAATAAAAGTTTACAGACATTCTTTTTTTACTCACCAATCACCACTGACCGGGGTGTTTATTCATTTTACTATAGGAACCTTATTATTGATCGACGTAGTCAAAAGTTATAGAGATATTAAACAATGAAATACGAAACTATTATTACACGATAAAATATAAATGTAGTTATATCAAAAAGAAAGCCTTTGTTTCATTTATCCGTCGTAACTTTACTTGATTACGTATTTAATTCGAGAGAAATTTTTAATGATTCGAGTTCCTTTGACGGAAACTTTTATAACAGTACTAGGTTTTGGCCCGCGGTTTTGGTCGTTACTGGAATAAAAATTATCTTGTTAGGTTCTAAGATCTTGTAGTCGAAGGAAAGGGTTAATAAATATGTGTTTTATGTACATATGTGTTTTGTTTAACATTATTGATAAGATAATGTAGAATGATGGCTGTGGCGAATAATGTGGCAAGCAGGTTTTTGCAAAGCATTCACAGATCTTTTGCTTTAAGTAATTACTATAGTGGCTACCAGTATAATTTGATTGTACAAATTTAATGAAAAACCAGTTTTACTTTTACACTTAAACAGAAAATTCCTTGTGTGTTTTATGTTTATTATAAGTATATTCAATAACCGTTAAACTTAGTCACCTTACTATTCATATTATGCAAATTATTTAAAAGGAAAATGAGATTTAAATTAATTGTATAACAAGAAACACAAATTAACATTCACGTTCCAACGTGCTATTAAAAACCTTTTTCTACCTGGCAATGGCAAGAGACATCATATAATCGAGTTCATTCACTTATGCCATAGTTATAGAGAATTAGACGAAATATTAATAGCATGTGCGTGATTTATGAAGTATTTATGCCAAAGAGGTTTACCTGTGACGTAGACTGTGAGCCTTTGATGAGTGAGCCGCGTCGCGCTGAAGGCCGACGGTGCATCGACGGCGCTGTGATGGATGCACGCCTGGTTACGTCTCCCGCAACCATCGTAGCAGCTCGCTGTTACGTCGCTGCGTTCATAACATAATAATTTAGGTCCTATCAACTTACTACTTATTAAATCGTCTACTAGGACTAACTATCACATATTAATGGCCTCTCAATTTACCTAAAATTTTTAACCGTCGCTCTGTAGGTTATTAATTCGCTAATAATGTATGATCAATGCTATTAATTATTGTCTGTAACCTGTAAGCAGCCCCGGTACGGCGTCGCAAATAGAAAGTGCAGCCGATGTAAATGTCGCGGTTGTCGGTGGAGTGCGTTGCGGCCGGCGGCTGGGGACGGCACCGGGTTTATTTTTGAGCGAACGGTCACTGTGGCGACCTAAAACGTGCCTGTGCCAGATTTATATGATTTTTGATAGACATCGCGTGGGTGTGATCAATTTAAACTCTGATCGAAATTTAACTGTAATTCGCACGATTGTGACCGTTTGTTTACTGCGCCTACACCAAACTCTATATCGGAATCAGGAAGGGCTTCCTTTTATTTGCCATGAAATGGAATTGCTTTCAGTTCCGAAGTTCCCAATTTGCGACGTGGAAAAATATAATTTATTTGCTTTAATTTAAGTATCTAGCTATTGATGTTGTCAATTTTACATAATATTTTACAGTTTATCGAGCCGCTGTTAGATCATAAATCATTTATGTATAAAATGACAGGATATTTGTATTGTATGTCTGAACAGAAGCAGGTACACATTTTAAAGAATCGTGATGTTGATAAAATTCTGTTTTTATATACATTTTGGATCAACTGTTTATGTCAAAATATTATTTTGCAACGATATTTTCTTGGTAGGCTATCCAATTGTAAAATTGTTTGAGAAGCATTTAAATGCATAAAAATTTAACTAGACTTTCTAGGTATAAAATGAGTGAAAAAAGTTTTTTGTTGTACGTCTATAGCATTGAAAGTACTTGAAGAAAGTGGAATAAACATTTCTATGGGCACCTTTTCTGCTTTATAAGAGTTTTATGAAAGGAAGTCAATACAAAGAGTATTCATAATTGTTTCAAGCCAGTTTGAGGATTTTTTTGTTGACGGTCGCAAAGCTTTGTTGACATATTATTTGTTTCATTCCCAACAATTTGTATTGCCAACGCCAATGAAAAAACTGCCTACATTTTGTTGGCTGTATGTGTATTGTGTACAAAGACTAAGAATTAGCTAAAGCAGAATTTTTCCTCTTCATTGAGAGGTAAAGTAAAATTTACGTTTACGTTTCATTTGAAACTTATTTGAATGAAAAAATTTATAAAAAATACTTTCTATGATAAATACAAGCTCTCTCAAATTTAAATATTGATTAAAACTAGTAACAAACGGATGTTTACAATATATGCAAAATATGTCAAACTATGTATTAATTAATTAGGCTTTATAAATTTGATACAAATTCCACAATGTTTTTACACGAATATTATGTACGAAAATTGAGAATAATAACAGAAACTATATCACAGATCATATGAAATTTGGTTACACAGTCACCTAACAGACCACTAAATAACACTTCGAAATGAAAACACACACAACATCCTTACAAACGAATGCATTCACAAATATTAATTCAATATTTAAATATCACGTACTTTTAATAGAAAATTTGTACTGAAGTGGTGTTATGATTAAGATGCGCGGGCGCATTCGTTTGGGCGGGCGGCGCGTAGCGAGCGCGATCCCTTACTGTCGACCGGCGAGCCGCTTGCGCCGCCGCATCCACGCATGCGCCAAAATTAAACACATGCGCATTATTATTTATTACAACATTTTCGGCTAGATTGTAAAATCAGAAACCTACTCAATGCTCCAGCAGAGTGGAATGTTTTTTGGCAAAACATCGAAACATTAAATCTCCGCCACTCAGATATTTGTATTTCTAAAGGAGAAACTTTTACGTACCAAAGAAAATGTGTGTAGGTATACAAAAGTTTCGCTTTCACGGGTTCAATGTTTGTGAATGCTATTTTGAGTTTTAATTTATAATTTGACATTCAAACTTACGAGCGTTGATATTCAAATATAAATTAACCTTCAAATGTTTATTGATAAAAGTTGGCCTAATAAAATTTTTGTTTACATGTTGCAAAGCTAAAAGAAAAATAATGTCATGTAAGCATCATAAATCAGTTATAATGTGGTATTTTGTTTAAACATTTCGAATGTTCCGTGAAGTATATACACACAGTAGTGTAGGTTGGTACGTTCTCAGTATAATACTCTCCTATGATCTGCCTACGCACCTATTGTCGGTGCCATGCAGCGAAGCATCAGTTAAATGTTAGTGGGGTATTATTATACAGTACGTCCCCTGCAGCTGTTTCATCAAATAACTTGGGAAGACCTTTTATTATAAAACTACCTATTTTAAAAAGGTCAATTCCTATATACATAGATTAAAATTCTTAATTCAAATATTAATAAGAACATATATTAAAATGAATTTCAGTTTCACATTGATGTATGTATGTCGAGTTAAGTTCAGCCACATATTTCATGTTAAGGTAAAATGATTAGCTTATGTATGTAGTGTAGAAATTATCGTCGAGCACCAGACGATAATTTATACAATTATCGGCACCCATAATGAGGTCAGCCCTAAGGTGAAAATAACTGAAGCTTTAAGCGCTATTTTTGGTAATAAAAGTACCTCTACATAATATACGTATAGAATAAAATAAAACTATTTATATTGGAACGAAAACGGAAGCTTTTATCTGCTACCGACAGTTGATGGACAATATCCGAATTGAATCAATTAAGAAATTTAAACGCTGGCAATTCAATGTCAAAAGAGCCGCTCAATATACCTACGCATATAATGAAGCTGACATGTTTTAAAAGAAAGTGTCGCAATATTTCAACGCTGCGCTTTAGAGAAATGAAAATATGCGAACTTTCCAACAACATTTCTCTACTCGAAACAACAAACAATGAAGTAATAAATTCAAGAATAAAACAAGTGAATGTGCAATACTGCTGTAATGAAACATCTGAGATATGGGGATAATAACAAGACTCAGTAAGTGTGAGAGAGCCAAGCTTCGGCACGAATGGGCTGGCTCGACCGGAGTGATACCACGGCTTCACAGAAAACCGGCGTGAAGCAACAGCGTTATATATTTTTTTATTAATAGTTCGGCAAACGGGCAGACCTTTTACCTGATGCATGGTACGCAATCAGCGCCGCCCATGGATCCCACCCGCAACGGAGGAGTTACGAGTGCGTTGCTGACCTTATAGAGATAAGGGATTACGAGAATTAGGGATTGGGGAAGGGGAAGGATTTGTAACCTCACTCAAACGGCGAAACACAACGCTGTGGTTGTTTCACGCCGGTTTTCTGTGAGGCCGGGTATCACTCCAGTCGAGCCGACCCTTTCATGCCCAAGCATGGCTTTCCCACATTTAAACTTGTATTATCTTATATATGTAGTTTCTACTTGTATTATCATTTTAAAACTCCACCCTAGCCTCGGCCAGGTACAATTTGCCAATTTCCCAATATAGTATCAGGTGAATGCATTGAGTTTTACTTCCATATAAGCTTGTTCTTAGATTAAAAATTACGACAAAAAAGGAAATATCCAATTCCATCAATTGATTTGGCAGTAACGATTGTATATTTCATTTGGATAATCCATTTTTATTTATGTTTTTTGATGTCATACAGTTAGCTTTGATATATTACATTTTCTTGAAGGAGTGATTATGTCAAAAACGTTTAACAGTTGTTGGTATAAATATGACTTATATTGTATAAAATTAATTGCGTTTTGATTTATTTATAAAGTTGTTTGTATTTACTTGAGTTCAGAAAAAGAAAAACGATGTACTTGATATTTATATGTTCAGTGCAGAATTTTAAAAAAATTAAAAGTTCGAGTACCTATATGATAAAACCACTAAATTTCTTCAGCCATAGATAAACTACTAATAAAACGCTAGTGTATATAAGTTCAGAGTTCACCATTTTTCCAGTTTATTGGTTCCCACCTTTGTTTGTGAAACCAACCTGATTGTAAAATACATTATATTAGTTACAAAAAAAAACAGCTCTGCGTAGTAGGCGAATAAATGTGTGAAGTGAAAAACTTTAATTTATATAAAACAATACACCTTTTTTATAAATTATCAAAACCACAAGCGCACAGGCTGTGTTTGTCGTTGATTTTCATATAATTGGCGTGGGCGCTTATAGGGAAAGCGTCAAAGTTTTTAACAATCCTGCTTCTGGCAAAGTTCTCCGTTTCTTTGAATTTATTGTTCAAAAACCCAATGAAATTAAATGAAAGGAACTACATAAAAAGTGATGTTTTGTATTAATTATTATGTCTTTGTACCTATCCTTAATACAATATAAATATTATTCGATAATTTTCATATTGGTTTACATAAAAGGAACTTGGCAATTTCAAATAATATGTTTTAATTGAGAAAGTCCATCTACGTACAAGACATGAGAACGGAAAATTATATTGAATGAAAAAGAGATATATAAAAGTATGAACAAGAGATATCAAACGAAAACTTTTAGAAAGAAACATGCGAACCCTTTTAGTATGTATTAGATTATTTCTTAAACTAGACTATGACAGGTATGTGTCGAAGGAGTGAATGTCAACAGCTACTCCATATTCGTACTAGAAATGCATCACTCAGTACTAAACTCAATATTGTGTGGGGGCGTTAAATGCTAGTAGGGATCTAAGCCAAAGGTTACCCATTTTCACTGTGTACGCATTATTCTTTAAATCGCTTGACACACATACTTTTGTTGGCATCGAAACATTCTTTATATTAAAATTACATAGAAATATGAATAAAACTAACGATGAGTCTAGCATTTGTAGTTAATTCAAAAGTACTACACTATGCTTTTGTAAAGGAAAATTATCGTTTTCTTGATATTTGTGCACCAGAATTTATTTCAATTAATGTATGACAGTGGTTTAGGCTCGAAAACTTAACTAAAAAGACATTTATTAATTGGGTAGTTTCCTTGGTCAAAAATAAATTAATTTGACGTTTCAATATAATAAAATATTGAAAAATAACTATACTTTTATTAATCGATCGATCGATACACTAAGTTTTAAACTTTTTTTAGCTAATTATTAAAAAATAAGAAAGCTCTTTGACGCAAAGTATCGTTTTTGACGTTTGGATAAAAGTATTGAATTTGACTGGTTGGAAACTACCTACCGTATTGTTTTTCACTCTGATTTACACTTGTGTTGTGGCAGATTTTACGAGCAGTAGAATTCTTGATTCTCATTTTTTTTTAAATAAGATGTAGTGTTGTATTATTATTAAGTATTGTGTCAAAATATTAAGAAGTGGTATTCAACTGAACCGATGATATTGCAATACAACCCGAAACTATTTCGTTCCTTACCGCATTTGCAATAAACCAATCTCGCTTAATCAGCCCGAGGTTTTCTTCTATAGAATCTACTGGCGTTTCCTATGCATTCAATGAAACTCCACAGACTGAAGGAAGTAAGCCGTAATTTGCATTTGCAATTCAAGTAGCACGGTATCCCGGAGTATCTAAGCTTGGGATTTGCACAGACACCAGCAAATGAGCTCTGAGATCAAAGTTATGGAATATTGTACGAGCATAAACATTATCGTTAAGTATTGTATTCCCTTTGAGAGTTAGATTTATAAACCGCACCAGCTTTTCAATTATTTAAATTGCAAATTATTGTGGCACGTATCCAATTTTTATCCCATATCTTGGTTTCGACGAGAATGGTGAACGTATGGGATTGGGAACGAGCAGTTAACTACCTGGCCATTTCGCTTCACATTCAGTAGGCGCGTCACGTCTATGATTAGACTGCGCCTGTCCTGTCGCCTATCATATCATTTGATTTCATTAACGGCCTGCCTACTGTTGTACGGCCGGAAGCGGTCGCTCGCTATTGTACCGACTTCATTCCCCTAACCCAACTTCGTTCACAATACGAGATTATTTTTTATTCATTTTTCTACTTGGATAGCTAACATAAAAACCTCTGGGTTTATGAAACTTCAAAGGATTTGTTGCTGTGCGAATATTTATAAAGAACTTTTATAATGTTATATCTATTTCTACTTATTAAATCAGATGTTTTTCGCGGCGTGGGTTTCATTCATCAGAGTTTTCTTTATAAAGATTCCTTGTTCTGTTTCAATTTCTTTGTGTTCAGTAACAACTATGTTTAATTATTTTTTCAATAATGTATTTAGGTATATAAGCTTGTGTTTGATAGAAAACAGGAACAGAACAATATTTCGGGTTAGACATTACCGGTCGTAAATGGAACTGATGCCAACAAACGCATTCTGTTTACGATTTCTAATAACCAATGAGTGAATTACAAGCATTACGTAGTATCATAACCTTGCCACTGCATTTACCAGAACCAGCCAATACCTGGTAGTTACGTAAACATCTATAAATTTCGAAGCGGCTAGTTAGTTCGTAATCGTCGGCGGCACATTTAGATTTATCTTCTATGTATAAACAAAACATTTCACTGTCGACCGCGACGTTTCGCAATCACTAATATTATTTTAAGTAAGTATGTCGCGTGGCGTGTAGCGGTAGCGGTGAAGTTCGGATCGAACACGTAGGCGACACACCGTAGGCGAAACTGTATCCGCGCCCGTCCGATTGAAACGTTGCCAGGCGC